GAAATGCATGCAATTGGCTGGTCTGGTTTACAGGTCACCGCAGGAATAATGATATACAAAGAGTTGTGAAATGTCCTGCTTGTCTATTATGTAAAAGTTGCACGCACACTAATAAAAAACATAGGCTATAAAATAGTCTGGAATGTTATCATCAACACATAATTTGCAGTTTACCCGTGTAATGTTTTCAACTTCGTGTTCTTAAAGTATAAAAATTAAATATAACCAAGGAAGTTAAACCTCTCTTATATAAAAACAAACAAACAAGGTAAATAAGACATAGGCGCCATCTCGTCTCTGACCATGACACCACAATACACATCTTACAACAATGTACAAGTAAACTATGCATCTTTTGCCTCTTCCAAAAAATTATTTTTACACTAAAGTGGGCTGATATTTGAAAAAATACCAGAGCGGTCCCTCTCATTACCAAAGAAAACGACCATGTTTCCAAAGGTGAAATATGTCAAGGTCGAAGGTTCCCAATAGACTAGTTTGGTAAAATTCTGATCAGTAATTGTGTTGTTGTTTTTGCCCACTGTAGATTCAATATGGTGCTGGTATAATGAGGCGTTAATATATGCGGGGAGACGATGGACCACACAAAGAAATCTACTCATTGTTCATAGCAAGGGTTATAGTTACAAATATATACAGAGACCCCATTCATACCAAGGACGTTATATCATAACCTAGTTGAAGCTCCATGTTCATATAAAATCCTTGTTCATACCAAGCTTTATATATCCTTCTAGATTCTTTAGCAGAGTTTATATAAGCCTGGTGTGGCCCAAAAGTCAACCAGACTCTGGCGAGGGCGAGTTTATAGCAGACATCGGCCCCCAAACAACATTTATTCTATTCACCAACTTTTAATGTAACGCTGATTTCCTCTACCATCCAATCTAGATGTCTTGTCTTTGTGTTGCGTTGCCTGTTACCTACAACGTTTTTAGGTAGTAATTCGGTTCATGGAACGAACTGACATGTTTAGGTAGATTTCAGGAGTGAAAATAATATTGTTTTCTAACCAGCATTTTGCCCGTTCTTCTTACCGGCTTTGAAAACACATGTGCACCTCTCAATTTACGCATTTGCGAAACGATCTACATGTATGGTGACCCCTTATTGTTTGGCAGTACGTGTGACGTGTGCAGGCCCGTATATTCCCGTACACACGACTAATTACCAGGTGTTCGGGCGTGTCCGGAGGAATCACAGACCCGCACACGCCGTGGCCGACATTTCCTGCACACACCCGGACACACCCGGGCACGCCAAGTTTCACGGGACATGTACAGGTCCGGAAACGTCCGGATATTCCGATTTTTGAGCAGTGTCAAGCAACTGGATATGATTTTGAAAACGTCAGACGTTTCAGCTACTAGCTACTAGCTGAAACGTCTGACGTTTTCAAAATCATATCCAGTTGCTTGAGTAACTGTTTTTGGCATATCGTATTACCTGGATGTCTAACCTTCATCGAAACATTCAGAGTAGTCCAATGTTATAAATCAATAAATTTTCTTTATTTTTTGTTCTACTGTCCTTGTCCACATGCAGGCCTGAGCTTAGAGGTTTTTTATCAGCCCAGGTCCTTATAATCTTCTTGGACCCGTGATGGGGCAAATCAAATCCCCAAGCAAATTGCTATCTCTAGACTATAGCGTAACAGGTCGGCCTGTTGCACTGGGGAAGCTATTACTAGGCCCACTGAAGACACAGCCTGCCTCACCCCAACATCCCCAATCACATAAGACTGGATACCAGGCTATTATAAGCCAGTCTTTGTATAAAATGATTATTGATTGCTGTCCTGTAGGGGAACTAATCAAAACCAACCCTGTAAAGAAAACAGTGTGCCCTAACAAATGATAATCCTGGGCAGATGGACAGTACTGCCCAAGGTAGCTTAATAGCCTAGGTTCCAGACCCATAGCACACTGGACACAAAGTCCCAGGCTAGGAGCTTAATGGTCTGGCTGCCAGGCTACAATGTTTTTTGTCTTGTCCCTTTGGAGTCAATTCTATGTTTGGAAAAAGAGTCTCAGAGCACACTCTTTCTACATTTATGTTCGAAATTTTTCACAAATATCTGTTAAAATCTCCTCTCCTGCCCAAAATCCTTGTAAGAGTCATTCTTATCCTTTATTATCTGAATCATCTGAATTATCTGAAGCAAATGGCTCATGCAGTTTAATCCCGAAAAATGCTACATTATGCACATAACAAACAAACGAACACCACATGCAACTAGCTACCAGTTTTGTGGTCAGGCTTTAGCAACCACAAAAATCCATCCGTATCTGGGCGTCACGCTGACAAGCGGACTGAAGTGGGGTACACATGTTAATAATATCACAACTAAGGCGAAACAGACATTGGGAGTGATTAAACGTAATCTGTGGGCATGTCCAACTAGAGTAAAATCACTTGCATACACGTCACTTGTAAGACCGAACCTAGAATACGCTGCGACAGTATGGGATCCACATACAAAGAAAGACAAAGACAAATTGGAAAGGGTACAGAATCAAGCTGCAAGATTCTGTATGAACAACTATGTAAGAGGTGCTAGTGTCACGGAAATGAAAAGAAACCTACAGTGGACTTCACTGGAAGACAGAAGAAAGATGTCTAGACTATGCATGATGTACAAAATGACTAATAAACTGGTGGATGTCCCAACTACTAAGTACCTAATACCAGCCCAGAAGAGAACAAGAAATAGCCACGCATTCAAGTACCAGAGTTATCAACCAAGGATTGAGGTGTTCAAGAATTCATTCTTTCCTAGAACTATCGCAGAGTGGAACTCACTGTCACCAAGTACAGTAGGGGCATTGTCAATAGATAGCTTTAAACAATGTCTAGAGCTAGAAGTTCAAGGGTTAGGTGTAACAAGTCGATCGGTGTAATATAGCCAGCTGCCGCCGCGCCGCGTGCCTGCGAAGCTGGTGTGTTACGCCGAAAGGCGGTTATACCGGCTATACAGATACAGATACAGATACAGATACAGAATCTGCTGAATCCAGTTGGGACACTAGACAGTATGTTTTCAGGCTCTGCAAGGCCTCCTTAGACTCTGGAGCTGCCCAGATGCCTCTGACAGTTTTCTCCAAGGGTAATTGGTATCAAATTGAATGTGATAATTAGACAGTGACGATTTGCATGTCCAAGAACAATAACCGACCTGACTGACCTAAAGTTGAACCCGCATAAGAAAGGTCCTACTGCAGAATATTTTTTTGCTTTAAAATTTTGTACAGGATTGTGGTCCTTGTGGTCTCCCTAGGCTCAGATAGTAGGATTTTGGCACCAAAATTAGAAATATTGTTTGACAAATTATCCCTAAAGCTTCCATCATATTTCAACTCTACAGTAAAAAGCAGGCAGTGTTGACAGTCCAGTACTCCTGACCATTATTTCAATATCAGATATTGTTTATAAAGAATAAGTATCTCAATTTGATCAATAAACTAAAAAGTTAAATAAAAGTGTATCAGATTTTAATCATGGTTGTTTTTCTACCTCCATGATCTAATCTAGCCATTCTGTAAAACACCCTTGCTCCAATCAAGCTGTGTGTGTTACTATCACCACATTCATTTGGACAACATCATCAACATGTGACAGTATCTGCCACTCAAAAATTGGCTTCTTCAACCACCAAACAGCCCGTTAGACACAAGCAAAATCAGTGCGTACAAAAATTGCGTACACACGCGAGCGTACATTTGTTTCTGTTCATTTGTTTCTGTGCCCCACACCATCGCGATGACCCTATATGACCTGCCGCGATGGACGTACCTGAGATCGCTGACCAGTTTGTAGTTTGGTTGGTGCCTTCATATGTCATGTAAATTTGTCCTTCACTCACAGTACACTTTCTTCCTTCTAACAGTCTCAATTTTGCTTTTTATCCTGTCATTTATCCATACTCAAATACTCCATAGTCATTTGCTGTTGCGCCCTTCCGATACGCGCAGCGAACAGCAAAACAGCTCATCAAAGTCAAAACAATTGATATATAGAATCAAGAGGAAAGCAAAACAAAATAAAATGCGTTCACAAGGCGTTTTGCCTATCCAGATTGTATCACACATCGCGCTTAGAAATGGATTGAGGTGTCAGGTGATTAGAGCCTGCCATCTTAAATGCACCAGAGCCGCTGCAACTCCACCGTAAATTTTGCCAAAGAAAGGAACTCAAAACTCAAAAAGTTTGTACAGCGTGGAATCTTGGCGGGAATGTAGAGAACACCTCTTTGAACATATTCTTTGGCCAGGATTCAGCTCAACCTCCACATATATGCAAATAAGCATGGTGTAACGGTTTAAAAACAAAGTTAAGCACTATCATAATAAAGATATCCCACTGTCATTGAGTTATCATTCCTGCATTATACTAGTATCTAAGATTATTGGAAGAATGATCAGTTAAACCTCATCGTCCACATATAATAATATTATGCAAATAGGCATGGTGTAATAGTTTAAAAACAAAGTTAAACACAATGATATTAAAAGAACTCATATCCCACTGTCATTGAGTCATTCCTGCAGAATTGAGTCATTCCTGCAAAATCTCCTGCAGGAATTCCTACAGGAAAGAAATTCCTGCAGGAATTCCTGCAGGACATTCCTGAAGGAAAAAGTGTTTTCCTGCAGGAATTCCTGTAGGAAGAATTCTTCCTGCAGGAATTCCTGCAGAATCTGCAGGAATTCCTGCAGGAAGAAAAAATTCAAAATGAATATTCATGAAAGTTATTATCATATTTGACAACTATACATCGTACTTGTCAATCATATATAAAGACTTTGTACCAAGTGCTTTTATATTGAAAATATCAGCACTTGTCAAAATGGGAAAAGTGGAATTCCAAACTTATATTGGAGACTGTTCAAAGTAAATACGTATTATATTGTGTAAACCAACGTTTAACGTAACATCTTCATAAAACGCCAATAAAGCGCCTTTGTTTGTCTTACACACAGAGTAGTCATTTTTAACAGCCTAGACGCAGGTCCGTGGCGACTCAACCCCTTCAACATCCACATCGGGGACTCCGACCAGGTCAGCACGAACCCCAAGTGTGGAGGTGATCATCACATCGCCCTGGACCAGCCGTCCATTTCCGTCCCATGTCCGGGGATGATTGGACGGTATGTGGGCGTCCGTCTCCCCGGACCCTCTCGAATACTGACCCTGTGTGAAGTACAAGTATATACGGGTAATTATTATTATGCCTTCTATACTTCTAGTCTTTAGTTATTATGCTAACAAAACATTTCAAAATTGTGATCACCGGTAAAGATTACATCAAACTACGTTTTTTTTTTTAAATTATGCATTATAGACATAAGGTACCATCGTTTTGGAACTAAAGTCAAAATACCAATTGAATATAATGTGTAATAACAGTATTTGAAAAAAAAAGTTTATACTGTACTACTGCGGCGAACATAACTATGTAGTGTCCTCAGTTGCTTAGTAGTAAAGTAGAGAAGAGAGTCTAATATTTCGGTGTATTTTTGTGTTTCAGGAACGTTTCATTTGACGGAATTTTGCCGCTCATGACGGCCAAAAAGTTTGCCCAATCCGTCATATTTGTCGGACAAAAATCCATGCATGTAAACTTTAAAGATATGGGCAAAACTTCCATTTTCTAAGCTTTATTTTTCTCACTTATCCATCCAGTATGGGCAGGCAAAACCTCACCGCTCAGGTCTCTCTTTATACCCATCAAACTGGTGAAATAGACAAAATTTGACCAAATTAGGAAAATTTTGACCATTTCTTTGCTACTTATTCTTAGCCCCGAAGCCTACAAAGTAGAAGAAGAAAATAAGAATTTTTAAAATCATCAACTGCGGACTACAATCGTCTTCAAATTTTGGGCCCTACAATGTACAAGGCAATAGTGCCGTCTGCATATAATTGTTTGCATCTAATTATAAAAAAACTCTCTTAAGCTCCTAAACATACTTAAAATCACGACGATCTGTCAACTGGTTCTTGGGTTATCCTTCATTCAATACGTTTCAACGAATACTCCCACAGTTTCAGAACAGGCTGCTGGAATACCCAAACACACGTCATCTCTAAACAGAACAGCTTCGTGACTCTAGCAGATCTAAATCACGAGATATAAAAAACCGGGAGCTCATATGCATTACCATTACAAGCATCAGGGGGCCCAAAATCTAATCATTATAAATTCTCATTAAGACCTACCCATATACTTAAATCAAGAAAAACCAGAAGTTAATTTTCTCGAATAATTGTGTCTCCACTTTTTTGAAATAGCTCGCTTCCCAAATCCGCCGTAAGTCAGTAAGCGACGCTAATGCGGGACGCAGTGAGAGTCCCAGGGCACTTACTCCCGGTATGTGCAGAAAGAAAGGGTCGTGCGATCGCTGCCGTACGTTACTGTAGTATTCCAGGTAATCCGGGTCTATAATACTGATATTGACAGTCCTCTCGTCCGGAACAGGTGTCAATGTCGCACTTGGGAAGACGGCGTACCAAACAACCACTGAGCACCACACTCGGGCTGCCAGCCGTGCCGTGGACGGGAACACCGATACCAACTTCTTTTCTGGAACTTGTACTGTCACTGCAGACGCAGGAGAGACTGATCCAAGCTGGTGGGTGGATCTCGGTCAATCGTACATGATTGCCAGGTATGTGTTCAGAATACATAGTCGATCAATGGATATACATCAGGATTAATGGTTAACAAACAAGCAAACAAAAAACAACAACAAACAAACACGCAGACATAAAAACTTCTCAAAAACACAGACTAGAATTATATAAGGATATACGAACATAACATAGAAGTTCTGAATATCTCGTGCAAGTCAGGTACTTAGTAACTTACCAAGAGTTACAGGACTTCGAATTAGTCAAGGGGTGTAAGAGTAAAGTCCGCGTTACCGTGTCGGTTATTTTTGTCATTACTTAGAAATGTTGTGAATTCTTTGTAATGGTTTGTCTAAGAAATTCCATAATTCAGAAATATTTTGAATATCTTTTCAACATTTAAAAAAATTCCCTCGTTTTGTAAAACTTGTGAAATATTCTTGATGTGGAATATCACATTTCCAATAGTTTCTGAATATTTCTAACAACACTCTACCATTTTTTACCATTATTTTTAATTATTTCTAACATTTTGTAAATAGGTCAGTGGGATGGGAAGGAAGTAATTCACACATCCCTGTGAAGTACAGGGTAGACTGCCTAGGCCTCAGGCATTGATGCCTTACAACTAAAGAGCCACTAGTGTCCATGAGTGAAATCTAAAAATATACAGAAGAAGACCGAAGAGTCGGATTAGAAACTACTTTTATGGGGGCAAAACCCACATCTGCCATTTGGTTATTTGTTTGAAATATTTCTAAATATTTCGAATAGTGAAAGAAACACATGTGTAGTTCAAATTTAATCTAAATAAAGAGATCTTTGTAAAGCCACTTTCAAAATGTTTCAGTCAGAAATATCTAAATGAATTCATTAAAACAAACATATTCAAATATTCATTTTCTAATTTTTGGAAAATTAAGAACTTTTGTTACTGGGGTATTCTTGTCTCCTAAATAATTCAAAAGTATTACCAACATGGAGAAAAAACCCACACGGTGACGCGGAATTGACTAACCATTGCTATGATATTGATATTTTATACATTTCCCATAAATTAAGTAAAAAAGGCCCTCTTTGCATATATTATATTAGTTGATCATCCAATGACGAAAGTTATTATTAAATTTAACTGTATGCATTTGGGGTGTGATTTATATTTTTCAATTTATGTTTGAAATTAAATTTCTGTGTAGTTTATATTTGTCTATCTTTCTCTGTTAATCAGTTATATATAAAAGCTTATGAGTAATGATCTATCAAAGTAAATACGTATTATATTGTGTAAACCAACGTTTAACGTAACATCTTCATAAAACGCCAATAAAGCGCCTTTGTTTGTCTTACACACAGAGTAGTCATTTTAACAGCCTAGACGCAGGTCCGTGGCGACTCAACCCCTTCAACATCCACATCGGGGACTCCGACCAGGTCAGCACGAACCCCAAGTGTGGAGGTGATCATCACATCGCCCTGGACCAGCCGTCCATTTCCGTCTCATGTCTGTGGATGATGGGACGGTATGTGGGCGTCCGTCTACCCGGACCCTCCCGAGTACTGACCCTGTGTGAAGTACAAGTATATACGGGTAATTATCATTATGCCTTCTATACATCTATTCTTAATGGCTATTAGGCTAACTAAACATTAAAAAGTTGTGACGTCACAATCCAATCCAATGCAATCCAATTCACCGGTAAATATTATATCAAACTACTTTTTCTAAATTATGCGTTATTAACATATTATTATCAAGATACCAATAATATGGAACTGTCAAAATACCAATTGAATATAATGTGTAATAAAAGTATCTGAAAAAAAACGAGGTAATACTGTACTACTGTGGCTAACATAACTATGTGGTGTCCTAAGTAGCTTGGTGGTAAAGTGGAGAAGACAGTCTAATATTTCGGTGTATTTGTGTGTTTCAGAAACGGACAGTCCACAGTTCCTCACCTGCTCAACAGCAACTTATACTTCACTGTCCATCAGCTGGGTGAAGCCGAGAGCGCCGCTTTTCGGATACAGAGTGACCTACACCCTCGTTAGTGACAGTCCGTCCGACGTCATCTCAACAGACTTTGGTCCGGAGAATGAGAAACAGGTACTCCGGGATGTCCTAGCTGACCGAGAATACAGCGTGACGCTTGTAGCTGTTGGGATGTATGAGGAGAGCTTGTCTGTTGAGGTCAATTGTGCAACATGTGAGTATAACTACAGCATTTACTTTCCGCTACTAAAAATGCACCTTAGCGATCTTAAGTCTCAATTTTTAACGCCTTTGCCCTTCACGTTTTCTACGAACCGTTTTTTAATGTGATATTCGTGCATTTAATAGTGACGCCCCCACCTGAGGACTTCAAGTTGAAAGACAGTACAGAAACGTCCATCACAGTTTCGTGGAAGCAGAAGTCCAACTCACTCGCTATTGGCTACAGGATGTGGATAGGGCGGAGTGATACAGATGAGAGCCTGTTCACACAGCTAGTACCCACGGGTCAAACAGATCTGACATTTAGTGACCTCAGCCCTGCCACAGAGTATGTGATATCAGCCGCAAGCACCAACAGGTACAGCGAGGGACCAGCCGTGGACATTACTGTGGGAACAAGTAAGAACACTTTGTATTCAAATATAAAATTGGCCATCGGGGTCTTAAGAGTCATTGCATGAGAAAACCAGGCAAAATCAATGGAAGGTCGGAAGATGGGGGTCGGCCAAATCCGCTCAAATTTTGTACATGGTACATGGTATTTATAGTATGGAGGCCCTAAGGCCAATTCTTTATTAAGAGTCATTGCATGAGAAAACCAGGCAGTGGCCGGAAGATGGGGGTCGGCCAAATCCGCTCATATTTTGTACATAGGATAGGTATGAGGAACTATCACCAGCCATATGATTAAAACCCTCCAGCTCTTTTTTGTTATGGAGTCCTGGAACCCCCCATGGAGATCCTCAATAATTGGAGAATTTTTGCCTGAAAATTCACGAAATTCGGATCGCTCTCTCCAGAGTTCTATTAAAGATGCTGATATATGATTTTGATTTTTATATTTCTTCATCTATCTAGTCTAACCAGACGAAATTTGGAGCTCTGGCATTGAACTTTAAAGGGTATGCTTGGGGGTTATCAGAACCCTTGAAAGCAGAGTTGGAACTTTTTTGAATATTAGTCATTTTTAAAGGGCCATTTGTCACACAATCTGCATTTGTTTGGATTGGTTTTGATTTTTCTGAATAGAGGAACATCTATTCATTAAGAAACAATTGTCATTTATTTGGGATCTAAATATTGTGAGTCGTGGGAAGAGGCTAATTATGGGGTACTTTAGCCTCTGAAAAACAATAAATCAAGCAATTTCGCTAGCCTAATTCAAAACGAATTGACTAGAATATTGTCTTTTTGAATCAGAAGTATGCAGGGGCATGATGACTCCTAAAATAAATGCAAAGGAATTGATAAAGGCTCTGTATGGGGGTTCTGAGTATACTTCAAAGAGATTTAACTGATTTATCATGTGAATTATGCTAATTGTCCCACTTCACGTTAGTAGATTATTACTAACTTGCAGATTGTGCATAGAAAAATAGTTATGAATAATTTGGGCTCTGCATGGGGTTTAATGGGACACCTTTCACCTACTTTTTCCTTTATAAGTGTGTATTTTTTTTTTACATTATACATGTGTATACAATTTTTTTGGCACACACAAGTAAACACAAGTAGCACACCAGAACAAGCTTTACTGCTGGATCAGAAATCTTTAGGGACATGATGACTACTGAAAAAAGTTCCTTATCTCCTACCTTCGCCAGATAATATTAACCTAATGGCTTGCTAATTATAAATGTTTGACATTCTAGCATTTTCTTATGAATTATGCAAATGAGATCCACATAAGTTATGTTTTCTGTTATTCAACTTCAATAAACTTATAAATGCCGCAAGTATTAAAGTACCAACCAAGTACCAACATAAACCACAGGCACTACCAATTTAATTAATTTTGCAAATTAAGTCTTCATTTTCATAATTGATATATGACGATGTTCCTCTCATTCTTATACACACGTCACAAGTTTGCAGTTCAAAAAAATCTGCTATAGGACCCACAGCTTCACTTTTTCAGAGGAGCCATTTACTGATACTGGCATGTATAGATCATGACATATCAAACTGAAAATCTCGCTACAGTACCTTAACAAGCTGCCAGGGGGCCCAAATCTAAGAATTTTGAGGTCTCATCATTACCCTCTTATCAAATACCAATCCTTCTCAAGTTATCGTGACACACGCACGTACAGACACAAACGAACGCCACCGAAAATATACCATTCTTGGAGAAAGCGATAAATGCAAAGAAAGTGATATAGACTCTGCATGGGTTTTTAAAAATACTTTGACTTTGCATCTGAATGGTACTAACTACCACGCCCTCCATTAGCTATTCATTAATAAACAATCGTCATTTATTTGGGATCTAAATATTGTGAGTCGTGGGAAGAGGCTAATTATGGGGTATTTTAGCCTCTGAAAAACAATAAATCAAGCATTTTCGCTATCCTAATTCAAAGGGTATTGACTAGAATATTGTCTTTTCGATTTAACTGATTTATTATGTGAAAGATGCTAATTGCCCCACTTCACATTAGTGGATTATTACTAACTTGCAGTTTGTGCATAGAAATATAGTTATGAATAATTTGGGCTCTGCATGGGGGTTAATGGGACACATTTCACATACTTTGCTTCCTTTATTTTTTTTTACATTATACATGTGTATACAATTTGACACAAACAAAAACACAAGTAGCACACCAGAACAAGTTTCTGCCCAACTTGTTTCCACCTGTCTTGCACTGATAACTCTTCTAAACTCACATAGCTAGATATTTAGCTTTCTTCAACGGATATTTGTACTGGCATTTGTCATGCAATCTTTTAGATTAAAATACATGTGCTTGGGCTCTCTAATATGTCATTAACTAGATAAATTACTGAATCACTTCCATATATCTACTATGTTGCACATAATAAAAATGCTAGGTTTGGAGGACATTGGAGTTATCAGGCCTTCAAAATGTGGTACCATGTGATACATTGTACCCTGGCTAAATGGATACAGAGCATGTAGCGGCATTATCTAGAAACAAGACCATAACAAGGTCACGGCAAAGATGCAATCATAGGATAATTGCATGTAGCTGTACTTTTGAAAACTGTTGAAATGAATAATGATAAAAATGACATTCCAGTTTTACAATTACTGTAATTGGTAACAAGTACTTTTCATGCCTAAACTTGACAAATTGTATAAAAACTGTCATATAATATTTTTTACACTTTGGTACACATTATGGAACAAAACTCCTACCAAATACAAAAATCATTTTACACATGTCTGTGTGCCAGCTCTAGGATGGTCCCTAATTCCTGTATGTAAATAACTTTCCTCACATCGAGTCTGTAACGCACAGATGGAAATGGTCTGCTATGAGCTTTAGTTCATTCATCTTTGTGATTTGAGGCCTTTGTTGCTATTTCGCACGAGATTACAATCGGTGTCTTTCACTATAACCGCTGACTGTAGTGAATGCTAGTTTTAATTACACTGTCTTTTACTGTAATAAGTGCCACTCGCATTCCTTTTGCATCACCTATTTATGTCAGTGGCCACACATTCTGTGTTTTCCTGCTGTCTCTGATGCCAACAGTTCAGCAAAATGGTTTGTCACTGCTTGCCTGTGCGGCACTAAATTGGCTAGAACAACGGCCGATCAGTCTAGAACAGCTTCCCATCAGCCTGACATCTCCTGAGCCACTTGTACAACACCAGCTTTCTGGCCCGAACCTACATGTAGCTCCCTGGTTGAAATGTAATTCAGATAGGTCTTCAATTTGTCTGACATTGACCGTCCGGTTGCCCAGCCTTTCACCCGGGAGGGTCCCACGATATCGGATTCTACCCCAAATGACTGTGGGGCTAAGTAGGAGCCATGCTAAATTATCAGTTTGCTTGATCATTTCTTGCGTATTTTGGTGTTTGCACATTGTAACTTTACACTCATTGATATACTGATATAAATGCTAACGCATATGCCGAGCCAAAAGGTATTGTGAACCCATTTGTCTACACAGACTACAAGTTAGTAACGCTTGTGTATAGGGTTTACGGTAACAGCTTATGGAGGGGGTGGTAGTTAGTATAATGTAAAAAAATACACACTTATAAAGGAAAAAGTAGGTGAAAGGTGTCCCATTAAACCCCATGCAGAGCACAAATTATTCATAACTATTTTTCTATGCACAAACTGCAAGTTAGTAATAATTCACTAACGTGAAGTGGGGCAATTAGCATTATTCACATGATAAATCAGTTAAATCTCTTTGAAGTATACTCAGAACCCCCATACAGAGCCTTTATCAATTCCTTTGCATTTATTTTAGGAGTCATCATGCCCCTGCATACTTCTGATTCAAAAAGACAATATTCTAGTCAATACCTTTTGAATTATGCTAGGGAAATTGCTTGATTTATTGTTTTTCAGAGGCTAAAATACCCCATAATTAGCCTCTTCCCACGACTCACAATATTTAGATCCCAAATAAACGACGATTGTTTCTTAATGAATAGATGTTCCTCTATTCAGAAAAATCAAAACCAATCCAAACAAATGCAGATTGTGTGACAAATAGCCCTTTAAAAATGACTAATATTCAAAAAAGTTCCAAGTCTGCTTTCAATGGTTCTGATAACCCCCAAGCATACCCTTTAAAGCTCAATGCCAGAGCTTCAAATTTCGTCTGGTTAGACTAGATAGATGAAGAAATGTAAAAATCAAAATCATATATCAGCATCTTTAATAGAACTCTGGAGAGAGCGATCTGAATTTCGTGAATTTTCAGGCAAAAATTCTCCAATTATTGAGGGTCTCCATGGGGGGTTCCAGGACTCCATAACAAAAAAGAGCTGGAGGGTTTTAATCATATGGCTGGTGATAGTTCCCCATACCTATCCTATGTACAAAATATGAGCGGATTTGGCCGACCCCCATCTTCCGGCCACTGCCTGGTTTTCTCATGCAATGACTCTTAATAAAGAATGGGCCTTAGGGCCTCCATACTATAAATACCATGTAAAAACCACAACCGAAGTAATGCCAAGACACATGCATTTGGCCTGTAGAATTAGTCTATCTTTCTTGCTAGAAATTCACGATTTGTATTGTATTTGAATGAATTGTTGTGAATATAAGTATTCTGTAGTAGGTATTGTTTTCAGTTTAAACCATGGGAAAACAAGCCGGCAAAATAGCAGCTAAAAGATATTTTTGATCTTTGAAGAATGTAACATAAGGGGCATGTTTACATGTTTACACTCTGCCGTTTATCCTCAGAAACGGATAGTCCAACAGCACTGTACATTGAACAGAAGACAACCAGCACTGTCACAATCTCCTGGTTACCTCCTGAAGCTGTGATCACCGCATACAACATTACGTACACAGGAAATGGAAGAAGTACTTCCGTAATGGAACAAGGGGATGTAGACAGCTGTAAACTGACAGGTCTGGTTCCTGGTTCTCAGTATGACATTGACTTGGTGGCCGTTAGCAGGTTTGGGAGGAGCCTCGCCGTCAGTACAAGTGTTATTACAGGTACGTGGTACGGCAGAGGTCCGTTACTATTTAATAAAATGGTAAAATTATTGAAAAAAAAAGAATGCCAACAACATATTTCAGCTGTTGTTGAATCTTGTATAATCTTAAGGGGGAGTTTATATTGATTGGAAAGAACGGGGCATTTGTACAATTTTATCACTTTTGGCTTTGTTTCTACTTCTACTAGTGTGTTAATATTACTTTCTAACTACCTTAGACACAGATCCACCCTCACGTCTGAACGTCACCAAGTCCTCCAAGACCTGGCTGTTCCTGGAATGGACCTCACCTGTGGCCAACATTCTATCCTACGACTTGGAAATCTCAGACGAATTTAGCAGTACAAGAACATTCCTCAGGTAAAAATTGATAAGATAGTAAGTAGAGACTATTGGAGCATATATCATATGATTTATGTTATCTTGATATATTTTAAAATCGATTCTTTTTCTTCTTTTAGATATCGTTACTGTTAATGTATTTAGTGTTTCCTTTCTTACTGCTGCAAACTGCTTCTTGTCTCTCGACTATTCTCAGAAAATTACAAATATTTTTTGCCATAGTTGAAACCCAGTGAAATTAAATATTGATGTACATTCCTAATGTCGTATTTTCCTCATTCTGTTTCTAATGACAATGTTTCCATGTTAGACTTGAGGGGCACACAACGTCCTACAACGTCACGGATCTTGTACCAGAAACCACCTACGTCTTCAAAATGGGGGCCTTCAGCGAGTTTGGTCGTAGTGTGGACATCCCTTTTTCATATAGTACAGGTGTGGTGTATGTTTATGCTTCAGTCATGCGTGGCGTATTAAATTGTCTTGCTATTTTTCCTTATTTAGTAGAGTAGAGCGTATTAAAAAGCGTATGTATTCTATTCACCTAGGCAATTCGTTAACTTTATGTACTTTGAATCATTCCGTATTAAAGTTTCTTTACGTCGGTTCATTGTTAAGTTTGAGCGACGGAGATTTGTAACGCTTTAAAAACATCACTCTGTTTCTGAAGGATCTATATCGCCAATCGAGGTCAGCACTGACTCAACGACAGAGGTCTCCACTTCTGATAGAATGACAACGACTTCGACCACTTCTCCGTTATCAACAGAGTCTACAACAGCACATGATAGCGACGTGCACAGTCGGGACTTTGAAAGTACATTTAAATTAAGTTTTCATTACTACCAATTTGGTTGTGACGGCTTTAATTAATTATTTTCAAAGTTTAAAAAACTGGCAAATTTAAAGTGACAGAAGAACCATTCAACGTTGAAAAGGACCGAAAATATTGATAATCATATAAGATTTTATATTCATGGCAATTTTGTTCCATTAATAGTACTGCTTTTGCAAATGCCTAATCTTTGATAATTTTGTTTAGCACAACCATTTATCTCATACTTTTGATTAAATAAAAATTTTCGTGGAAAAACATGGAAAATATCTTATGTTACAGACTGCCGTTGGAATATTAGAAAAATAAAACACATTAATTAACGGTGTGAACTGTTAATGTTAATTTTTGTTTTTTGTAGGAACCACTTCTAAATTAACACAATCACCGTCGCCTACGGCTTTGAATAAAGACGCAATAACAACGGCCAAATGGACCACCACAAACTACAGTAAGAGTTTCGTAAATTTTATCTAGCCATGTTAAACATACGTAAACATAGAGCAAATATCCCATTGTTTCGTTGTGTTTGAATCCCCTAAAACATCGAAGTATGGAAAGGTCTAAAAATATCGTTTCCTGTGATATTTCCTTTCTGACATAAACTTATATAACATGTAATATAATCTGTGAATTATTTTTAATGACTTTTTAATGATAAATCGAGTTTTTATGATTTACATACCGGTATGTTTCCTTCGTTCGCAGTGACTTTCCCTGGTAGATCAACGGAGCCTCCCCGTATCTCACAGACATCTACTCCAGGTAAGTCATTATTGAGTTTCACAATATATAACTAACGCTGGGTTGTACACTGTCTTATCAGGTATACATTACATTTTTCATATTTGTATGAATTTACTAAGATACTAATTGCGTCTGAATTTCAGACATCAACAAATACACAACATCTCCCAAACGGACCACGGAGGAGCCGGCTGAAAAGGTGTGCCGAATTTTGGTTTGTTTTAGATATAAACATCGAATATATTTACATTCGTATACGTAGTGACATCTGCACATTAAGGCTTTTGGACAGTCCGACAAACATTTTTCACTCGCCTTTCCATGTGCCAGTAAGATATAATCCATCACTAATACTTTATTATTGGGAAAATGTAGCTTCAGAATCTGGTGCAAGGCCTAGACCAAAGTTTACCGGAAACGCTGGGAGCAGAAGACATTCTTGCAGCGGCAGCCAGCATCAATGACATCATCAAGCCTGCTGATGCCGCCGAATCAGAAATGTCACCGTCGGTGTTGGTGAGCTGAAGTTTACTTAGTCTTATTTTATTACCTTCGGGACGGAAGTATTGTTTCGGTATCTCATTGGGAGTGTCAGTTTGTTTGTTTCTGCACAAATTAGGTTGATATTGCGTAATACACATGGCAAGTGAATGGCAGTCCATAAGACCGGAGATCAAAAGGTCAAAGAATCGCAGAAATAAAATGACTTGAAATTCACAAAATTTTGCATGGAGGCAGCAATTGAGGATTGCGTGAATCATCTTTTTTAACCCCTCACAGATTCCGCCCCGGTGCGGCATACGACACAATCTGCTAGTATGGTCCCAAAAAAATTCCCGAAACACAATTTTTTAAGTAGGATTCTAAACTCCCTGAGCTCCCGTTGGTATGCTAGAAGTAACTCATCTGACTGTTAGCAAATCAAAATATAACAGTGGTCACTTTAATTTTCTTTCGCATTCATTACAGCAAACCACTGCCTGGATCATAGAAAAGCTTGCCACTGCGGCTCGGGGATCACAGAGCATTTCGATAGAGAATATGGAGACCATAGCTGATGGTAAGAAACCTTTGTTTTTTGTCTACAATGTACAGATCACTAAAAATGACTTGTTTTATAAAATATAATATATCTTCGTCATTTGTCAGGAATCAGCAGTGCTTCGATTTACCCCTTTTTAATGTTGAGAGTTTTACATTACTTTCCCTGGTTCCTTTCACTTCTTAATTTTTAATTTCTATATTTCACTCAACTAGAATACTATACTACTAATATACTATACTATACTATACTGTACTGTACTGTACTGTACTGTACTATACCATACCATACCATACCATACCATACCATACCACACCATACCATACCATACCATACCATACTATACTATACCCTACCATACCATGCTTTACTATACTGTACTATACTAAACTATATACTATACAATACTTATACTATACTATACTAAACTATGCTATACTTATACTATACGTATACTATACTATAATATACTATACTATACTATACCATGACATGCCATGCTATACTATACTATACTGATACTGTACTATAATATACTATACTATAATATACTGTACTATACTATACCCCACTCTACTGTAGTACTTAACTCAACTCTGCTCTACTCAAGTTTTCTCGGATGAGTTACATTTAAAGCTATTTTCTTTTTTTACAGCCTTGGTGCAGACGGCTTCAGCAGCCATCGACGTGTTACCTAAACAGAAAACGCAAATAGCAAGTGACTTCGATAATGCGTTAGAAAGTGATCTTATCGACACGAGTGCCACCGATCTCTCCCCGAGGCAGCAGCTGAAGGTGTTTAAAGGAGAAGCAAAAGGAAAAGGAAGACATGGTAAGGATTGTAACAATATGTCAATTCGCACAATAAATGTAATTACTGATAACATGATAATTCACTAAAATTGAATCTCGCATTCTAAAGTATTCCAAGCAATACAGGAAAGTCCTTCTCAGCACTATTAACGTGTTGCTATTTGATTTCAGCAACGAGAAGCGTCTCAGATCATTGTGGCATCTCTGGACCAGGTGGCCGACACACTACTGGCGTTGCAGCCCGAGGATGTAAAATACCAATCAAGCTTTAAAACAGAAAACTTCGCTGTGGATGTAGCAAGGTCTCCGTCTGACAAAGACCTTCACATTGGCTCGGGGGATATTGTGGCAAATATCCCCCCAACAAATCTGACCAACGCACACGATATGATGGACATCAAGGTAAGAAATACGCAAAAAATACATTGTCTTCTGCCATTATTCTATCATTGTTTTTTTTTAATAATTGTTGTTCCAAGCCCAAAATTTAAAACCCCTAAATTGTTTAGGATGCCAAACAATAAGTTGTACCGTGTGTTTTTCAGATGTCAGTTTTCAAGAAGAACCCATATTCTTGGAGTAAATCGACAGGAGGACAAAATATCTCGTCATCAGTGGCGTTTCTGACCATCGATTCAAAGAATTCAGGAACCTTTACCAAAAACAAGAAGGTAAAACTGGATATGCCATTTGTACCGTCCCATGAGAAACAAGAGCCAGCAAGCCGGTCATCACACGTCACTACAGAAAGTCCAAGCACGGCGAAAGAGAACGCCAACGGAACAACTATGGTGTACCACGCCTTCAATGTTCCAGCTGATAACGTCATCCCGGTTATCCGTATGAACTGGTGGGATGTAGAAGCGACATTTCACGTGTACATCTCGTACGGCTCTCCTCCGACTGCAAAAAAGTTTGTCGAGAAAAGAGTCATAAAAGAAGACGGATACGAGGCCTGGCTCAAGGGGACGAATTTTTCAGCATCCATTATTCCCAACACAACGGATCATGACAGGGTTTT